TGGAAGAATCAAAATCAGTAATTATTGAAACAAATTAATTTCAATTAGATGATTATTTTTGTGCAATTAATTGATTTAACCATAACCTTGATTAATCGATTATTTAAAGCTACTAATAAATTTAATTGTTGTTCATAGTTAATCAACTATATCAATTAAATTGCCAAGTTCTACTGTTCCATGGTTCACCATCTTCACCATTCCGTGCCCATTTTCTCACCTACTGGGAAAACCTTACCAATGGTACCTAAAGTCTCTCCTGACCATTGTCGAGTGGCTTCAAGCAGAGTTGAGGTTGGGTTACTCTGGCTGACAAAGGTCTGGGAGTCCTACACAAACTGTCCTATTCAGTCTAGGACCCACCAGATGCCATACCCTTGCTACAAGTCTAAGTTGTCTGTGTTTCCCTTGCAAATAATAATAATCTAATAAGTAGTGTATTCCAAAAAGAGTACTTTAAATTTAGGCTATAATTGTACTAGTTTTGATTGTTGGAATTTATTTCGTTCCAATTATATTTGCCCCAAAAATGTTATGTAATGGTATTTTGTACTTTATTAGTTCAAAAGCATTACTTATAACAAATGGCACCAATTGCAAATAAACAAAAGTTAAAACGGTGATGATGATAGTATTTGTGTAGACCGCACACTATAGTGTAAATATCTTTGTAGACCGCATGGTATAGTAACACAAAAATTATATTTGCCCCAAAAATGTTATGTAATGGTATTTTGTACTTTATTAGTTCAAAAGCATTACTTATAACAAATAGCACCAATTGCAAATAAACAAAAGTTAAAACGGTGATGATGATAGTATTTGTGTAGACCGCACACTATAGTGTAAATATCTTTGTAGACCGCATGGTATAGTAACACAAAAAAAATCTTTATTATTCACAAACACAATGTGTGTGCTTGCTTATGAATGAGGGAAGGTCACTTTTTCTGGAACTAGATCCAGAAACCACTTTCTCTATAAATGTTTTTTTCAGAGAAACTCAACCTCACATTACTTAGTTAAAACAGTAATGTCACACCTATCAAACAGGAGTTAACATGTCAAAACACAAAGTTTTTCAGGAGCAGATCCCGGAAGTGATCATGACTTGTTGATGATGACTTTTCATCTTCATCTGAACAAAATCAGCAAAGCAAAGCACACAAAATTCAAGTTTGACCTTGAGAAACTGAAGAACCCTGATGTGGCAGAAGCCTTCCAAGCAATGATTGGTGGGAAATTTGCACCTCTTACCATCCTGGATGAGGAAAACACAGAGCTAGATTCGATGATAGCCACCTTTAACACAACAGTGACTGATGCAGCCAACAAGATCTTTGGCAAGTACCATCGGACTAAGAAACCCTGGGTCACACCAGATATTCTGGACCTACATTACAAAAGAAGAGAACTGAAAAAGAGAAAAGGTGTAGTAAATGGTAAAGAAGGCAAAGGAGAACTGGATAAAAGAACAGTGTAAAGAAAACTTGAACAAAAACAACAGTGAAAAAGGATACCAACTTGTAAAAGGTTAAACAACTGTAAAACACTACCATCCAAGACAAATTAGGAAAATGCCTCATAGAAGAACAAGAGATTCTCCATCGGTGGACAGAATATTGCTCAGAACTATACAACCACAAGACCAATGGAAACTCAACAGTACTACACTGCCCTCAGACAACTGAAGAGGACAACTATCTTAAACTTCAGGAAGAAGTAGAAAATGCAGTAAGATCACTGAAGAAAGGGAAGTCAGCTGGAGTTGACAACATACTGGCAGAACTGGTTCAGGCTGAGGAAGAAGCCTTGATCACCACCCTCACAACAATCTACAATAAAATATGGCAGACAGGAGAATGGTCCACCACTTGGACCCAGTCTATGGTTATCATGCTTCCCAAGAAAGGCAACCTACAGCTGTGCCAAAACTACCAAACAATCAGCCTCATCAGTCACCCGAGTAAAATCACGTTGAATATCATATTAAACAGACTTAAGCACCAAGCAGAAAAGATCAGTGCTGAAGAACAGAAGGGGTATGGAGCAGGACAAAGCACCACAGAACAGATCTTCAATCTTAGGATCCTTTGTAAGAAACATCTCCAAGATCAACAAGACCTTTATCATGTCTTCATAGATTTCAAGAAGGCATTTAACAGGGTATAGCATGCAGCCTAATGGACAACCATGGGGAAGAACAACATCAGTGCCAATCTTCTTCAAGTCACTGAAAACCTTTATGACAAGGCCATGAGTGCAGTCTTCATAAATGGTAGCTTAGAGGACTGGTTTCAAACAATGATTGGAGTTTGACAAGGATGCCTACTCTCACCCACCCTCTTTAACATCTTTCTAGAAAGGATTATGACTGATGCCTTGAAAGATCATGCAGGTACTGTCAGTATTGGAGCCAAGCTAATCACCAACCTTTGCTTTGTAGACGACGTTGATGGCTTAGCAGGAGAAGAGCAAGAACTAGCCAGC